CCTCCTTCTTGAGCTCCACAGCACTCATGCTCTCCACGTCCTCGAATGGCGTCGCTGCACGGCCCGCACCCCACACCCCACAGAGCACATGGGCAGGACGGAGAGGACGGGGAAGGGAGGAGAGGGGAGTGGGGGGTGAAGGGGGGGCGGGGCACACAGGTACAGGAGAGAGTGAGTATAGGAGAAGCGTAGTGTGGAGTGGGGGGGAAGGGGGTGGAGAGGGGGGAGAGAAGGAAGGGAGGGGGGGGGAGGGGGAGAGAATGAAGGGAGGGGGGGGGAGGGGGAGAGAATGAAGGGAGGGGGAGAGGGGGGGGGAGAGAAGGGAGGGGGAGGGGGGGGAGAAGGAAGGGAGGGGGAGAGAGGGGGGAGAGAGGGAAGGGAGGGGGAGAGAGGGGGGAGAGAAGGAAGGGAGGGGGAGAGAGGGGGGGAGTGACGTCTTAGCAGCAAGAAGGCGCTGACCCAGAGGGTCCACAGCACGAGAGCAAGTGGAACTGAGAAACAATAAGAAAACTGCTTGGTCCCTCCCATAACCCCTCTCCTCACCCCCCTCCTCTCCCATCACCCCCTCCCCTCACCCCCTCTCTCCCATCACCCCCTCCCCTCACCCCCTCTCTCCCATCACCCCCTCCCCTCACCCCCTCTCTCCCCATCACCCCCTCCCCTCACCCCCCCCCCTCACCCCCTCTCTCCCATCACCCCCTCCCCTCACCCCCTCTCTCCCATCACCCCCTCCCCTCAACCCTTCCCATCATCCCCTCCCCTCATCCCCCCCTCCCATCATCCCCTCCCCTCACTCCCTCCCCTCACCGCCTCCGCTCACCCCCCTGTCGTCACCGCTCACCCGCGGGCGCGATGGTGCCGTTGGCGTGGGTGACAGAGGGCGTCCCCATGAGTCGCACGAGCCGCTCCTGGCACTTGCCCACGGCCTCCGATGCGCCCGGATCCCGCCGCACGCGCTCCAGCTCTATGCGGCACAGCTGTAGCTCCGCCGCGTCGTGCACCAACCTGGCGGAAGGCGGGGATTGGATAGTGTGCATGCGCAAGGGATTGGGCGCGCACTGGATAGGGCACGGAAACCGCAGAACCTGGCATGTGAGGTGCCGGAGAAGGAGCGACGCGATCGGACGCCGACGAGGCTATGAGGTTGGGCTGTGACGACTAATGCAGGAAAGCAGTCAGAGAGTTGCGGGAAACTGTAAAACTAGAGCCCAGAAGGTGCATCGACGAAGGTGCAGCGAGAATGAGCAGTAATGGACAAGACGCGCGGACGCGCGTGGTAGAAGCGGACATGGCCCCACGGCGGGAATTCTCACCTTTCATGGCCCCACGGCAGGAGGACACTGGGCGCTTGTGACGTGGATTGCGAGAAGGAGCCGACAAGCATGAGAAGCGCGAGCAACACCACTCCCACGAGTCCCTTCCCAATGTTGCTAGTGGGTAACTTTAACTGCTTTAGCTTCTCCCGGATAAAGCGCTGATTTATCCCGTCAGAGAAGCGCGATGTCAGGAGGTTCATTCTCGTTCCCATGGCGGATCGTACGAGGAGTGGAGGAGGAGGAACTTGATAATCTCGTTCGGGTGCGTTGTCGCGAAGTAAAAGCACGAATTATGATGGGAGTCCACTCATTGTTTTCTCCCGTACAAAAACATCGCAGCCAGTTTAGGGCACCGAAATAACAACGGATCGGCGGGACAGTCGTAGGTAAAAACCTAGCACGCAAATGGCGGAAGGACCAACAACTTCATCAGACCAGGGAGTCCAGTAGACAAAGTTCGCCCAACCAGACTTGAGAAGTTCGAATCATCGATTTGCTCGGCAGGGCAGCAGAGCATCAACACCTGATGGGATATTATAGGAGGGATTCGGTTTGGCGGTGATTTTGGCGCATGTAGTAACTCATCAAGTCCCAATAAACTTCAAAGAGCTTTACCGCAGAAAGGAGTAGGGGGCAATCTTGAGGTGACTGCTATCAGGCCTGGGAGGTAGGTGACTGGAGAAATAAAAGACTGCAGTTTAGGACGTAACCGGGCTGTTTAGTGTAAACATGTTTTTGGTACTGTATATGCTGTGCATTTCATCTCTGTTTCTCGGGGAGGGGAGTAGTAGTGACCCTTGAAAAATGTAGTACAAGTTGGCTGACATGCACGAAAAAATCTCAATTGGTAAAAAGCGAATCGATACATCCAAGCCGTTCACGAGATTTGGCGATGCCGAACCTTGAAAGGTGGGGTGAAGTCAAGTGCTCCCCCATGAGGCTGAACTGGGTCTAGGAGGGGAGTCTCGTTTCGAGGGCAAGCCCTGACCACATGTTTGAAGGTCGTTGAGGCTGACTGTGTTCTGTGTACTGTACTTATCGTTCCTTGATAAGGGCAAGAGCACTGAACTGATGCTGACCACGAATGGTGCCGGACAAGTCACGAGGCTAGTTCCCCCGAACGTAACACCAGGTTTAGCTTTTACTATATGTTGCTTTTACTAAGCGTACTTGCACCGCTTCTGAATCCGACCTAGTTCCGAGCTAGAAATACCGCCACTATTTCATTCCGGTCAGAAATTTGACTGGTTGACTGGGGAGGGGAGCCTGCCAACTTTCAAAACAAAATACGATCAGGGTGACGATTGTGGGGCTACTTTTGGCAGCACCTGTGACACCTCAAAACTACACGATGGTTGTAAGAATATTTTTCAGTTACAATTGAGTCATGTATAACTAGAGGCCCCACTCCTGAAGCATCCTTTTCTCCATATGACCAATTGTACTATACATTCTAAAGAGACCAGCACAAGTATAACCCGAAGCTCCCACTGCTGAATTTGAAGCATCCTCTACTGCATGTGATGCTCTAGTACCACAAGATTTTCTATAGCCAATGGACCAAGAAGTGGAGTTAGCATTGCAGGTCTCCAACCAGCCAGCAAAGCCAAACGAACCAATGGTGCTGTTGTTGTATCACATCATGTTTCTATTATGAGCAGAACCAGCAGGCATTGGTATATCATATCATCATGGAACAAGCGGAGGAGCACCAAACCAAACCATCATATTCCACTCGTAAGGCGTGTTACAGTCTGTAGGTTTACCGGTTGCTCCGGGCGGCAGATTTTTGAGGTATGGACAGTACCTAGGCGATACGAGAAGAATGTTGCTGTGGTGGAATATCCAGACTGGGATATAACGAACACATCAGAAGATGCCAAAAGGAGCCAATCCGAAAGAACGCCGGTATATATAGCTGCTTCTTTATCGCGAGCAGCTTGTGGCGAAGGGGGTGGCGACGAGGGCGCAGCATCATTGAGCATGAGGTTGTTGATATGCATTGGGAGGATGTCTGACACCACCACCTGTGACGCAACGCAACCAAGTAGGGATGATGATATTGGCGTGCCCAAGCACAAGCATGTGAGAGGGGCTGAGGGAGTTGAGAGGGGGTGCTATAGAGGCTGTGCGTCTGTGAAAGGGGGGTGGAGGGGAGGTTGACGGTTGTGTGAATGAGTGTGTGCATGTATGTGCGTGTAGGTGCATTACAAGCATTGAAAGCCAATGTGACAGCGGGCAGGATAGACTGCACAGGCTGCTAATGCATGCACACTGCACAGCGCGGAGCATGTGACGGCGGGCAGTCCCTTGCGCCGCCTCAAGGAGAAAGCACACACCTTGTCTGGATATTTGAGCCTTAAACCTGTCTTGAGATCCTGAGAGTTGCTAACAATTAGCCATTTAACTATGATAGGAGGGGGCATCCACCATGCTTCGAGTTTCTATAAGGGAAATGGGCATGGGAGGGGCTCAGAAATCAGAGGCCAGGAAATGAGAATGGAGGCATGAGGAACAAAGGGGCACGGGGAAAGAAGGGGCACGGGGAAAGAAGGGGCACGGGGAAAGAAGGGGCACGGGGAAAGAAGGGGCACGGGGAAAGAAGGGGCACGGGGAAAGAAGGGGCACGGGAAAAGAAGGGGCATGGAGAAAAGAGAGGAAAATGCATTTTTGCGTGAAGGGTATGAGAAGACAAGGGCTAGATGCAATCATATTTATAACCCTACGACTGAGAAATACTCGCGAAACACAAAACTATCATAATGCCCAAACCCACTGTCGACTATCCAGCCTCGACTATATCTAAACTGCAACTCCCCACAAAATCTCCCCACTATAACTCCACATTTCCCTATCTGCACATTCACCTGGGCACAAGCAATATAATCGTCCGCCAATGCCATGAGCTCAGCCTTCTCCGTCTCATTCAGAACCTTGGGATCTCCAAACCCTCTCTTGCCCGCCCACACGAAACTATCCTCCACCCTGACGTGAATCCCAATAACCACCACCCTATTGTGCCAGGAGCCGGAGGCCCCTGATTGACCAGCGCTCAGGTGATTTGGGGCTTGGAGGAGGGCGGGGGGAGGGGAGGAGGAGGAGGAAATAGGGGAGAAGAGGTGGTGGTACGTGGCTTCAGCTTTTGACAGAATCTCCGGCCGTGGCCTGGTGGTGGCAGAGGAGTAGAGTGGGGTGGGGGTAGATGGGGAAACGCAAAGGAGGGCGGGGGGGGGAGAGGAGGGGGCTTCGTGAAGGGGCAGGGGAGAGGGGTTATAGGAGACTGGGATGGGATGGACACACAGGCAAATTGGTAGAGTGTTTCTTGGTGTGGAGAGTTGACGTGACATATGGTTGCGGGCCAAAGGGGTCGGCCTTTGAGACGTCTCAAAAGAGTGTTGCTTGGTGTGGTGGACAGCTGATGAGACATATGGTTGCGGGTCAAAGGGGCCGGCTAAGGACAGGTGTGTTGGGCCCAGATGAGAAACGCGAGGCTCAAGGGCCCGGAAGGGGGACAGGAATGCAAGGCAAGGGCATGAGTTGCCTCGAAACCTCAAGACGAAGGTGGTATATGGCTTAGATGAATGGTGAGTTCAGCACCCTTTGAGGGGAAATGCGGAGTACAGTGAAAGTGTGGTGGACATAGAATGGCGCCCCCTTGTGATATTTCAGGCACATCTCAAAATCTCATATGCATGTCACGCGGGTATCCATGGGAGCGCACTTGAAAAGAAAGAGAGAGAAAGATGCAGCCTTTTCAGGCGCATCAACATGTTTCCAAGTGGGGGCGTACTTGAGAAGGAAGCGCAGGATGCAGCCAAAGCTGTAGGGAGGCCGCATGCCCATGTCCTTGAGCCGCTCACTCCACTTTTTGCCCTCCGCCTGTGCCCACCCACCCAAGTGTTACGTGAACAGCACATGAGCATGACAAGAGCGAGTGTGCTGCTACTCTGAGCTCGTGCTCATTCGAGTAAGTTGCTACTCTGCATCCCCATGGCTCTCGGGCTGTGTGTGCCACTTCTCCCGTACCTTTCTTCCCCTATCTTCTCCACCGCTCATTCTATCCACTGCTTCTGTTATTCTCTCTCCATCTCCTCAGGTGACGTTCGAGTCGACTCAACAGTCTTCCTCTCTTCCTCTCCTGTGGCATGAGCGGAAATCCAAGCAGGCGGCTCGGCTCCTCGGCTTGGCTCGTTAGCTCAGCGGGCGAGCAAAGCCGGCGACCTTTTGGCTGACTAGTCCAGCGAGTCGACTCAAAAATAGACTAGTCGAGCAGGCCGACAGCTCACTCACACCTTCACTCGCACCTCTTGTAACGAAACCATCACATCACGTGACGAGCTGGATCTTCTCGGCTCGTAGACCAGCATAGGCCGGCTTGCCCAGCTGGCCTCAATGTGACGAGCCACGAGCCACGAGCCACGAGCCGGCTAAACTGCTGGCTAACCTCGTCGACCTCTCTGCTCGTTGCGGCTCGAGGCGGTCCTATTTTCATGCCCCTCCTCTCCCCTCCCCTTCCTCTCCCCTTCCTCTCGCCTTCCTCAACTCTATTCAACGTTTGGGAGAACACAAGAGTTTCTTCCTGGTTCAGTAGAACCGTTTCACCCACCTGCACGAGCCAATGAATAAGCAGCCCTCTGTTCCATGACACGCGCACGTTCATTGCCTTATCCAACTGCCCGAAAAAATCCTCCGGCTCAACCAATTTATTTTTCAGATCCAGCACCACAACCTCCCCATCCTGCACTACCTCCCCTCGCCCTCCCGCCCCTTCTCCTCCTCCTCCTCCTCCTCCTCCTCCTCCTCCTCCTCCTCCTCCTCCTCCTCCTCCTCCTCCTCCTCCTCCTCCTCCTCCTCCTCCTACTCCTCCTACTCCTCCTCCTCCTCCTCCTCCTCCTCCTCCTCCTCCTCCTCCTCCTCCTCCTCCTCCTCCTCCTCCTCCTCCTCCTCCCTCACTCCATCCCTGCATCACCTCCTCAATAGACATTTTCCGAGCCGGCTCCAAAGGAATTTCTGGTGAGAAGGACCAATCAACGAGGTTCGGCTCGAATGCAAGCGGCAGGAGAGCATGCTTCACTATGAAGGCGCGGTTTGTGAGCATGGCGCATACGAAGGTGGTAGCCAGCCCTGTGAGATAGTCCCCTAGCCCACCTGGTTGATCCAGCCACTCGTATGTGAGGAAGCGAATGGTAGGGTCCCTCCGAGGCTGCGGGTATTCGGCTGGGGGTGGGGGGGATGGTGGGGGTGGGGGTGGATGAGGGGGGGATGGAGGAGGGGGGGATGGAGGAGGAGGGGACGGAGGAGGGGGAGATGGAGGAGGAGGGGACGGAGGTGGGGGGGATGGAGGAGCGGAAGGTAGGGGAGGAAGAGGGGAGAGTAGGGGTTGTGGTGGTGGGGGTGATGGTGGTGGTGGTGACGGTGGTGGGGGTGACGGTGGTGGGGGTGATGGTGGTGGTGGTGACGGTGGTGGGGGTGATGGCGACAGTGGTGGCAGCGGCGGCAATGGTGGTGCGTTCGCAGCAGCAGCAGCTACAGCAGCGGCAGCAGCAGTCTGAGCGAGGGTGCTGGCGTGGGCGCGGGCAGCTTCGCGGATGCGGGAGTGCAGGGCAGAGTAGTCATCCGCCCAGGTGCCACAGTTTGCCTCAGAGAATGTGAAATCCAGAAATGGCCTTGGAGGGGACGCTGATGCACGCAACGGAGAGAGGAGCTGCGCCAGGGGGGTCACAGACGGAGGAGGGGAGGAGGGGTGGAATTGCAGGGTGATTTTTATAATTCTCAAAAAACACGCTGATGCACACAACGGAGAGAGGAGCTGCGCCAGGGGGGACACAGAGGGAGGCGGGGGGGGATGGGTGGAATGGAAGAAGTGGAGAAGGGAAGGGGGCGGAACGGAATGCTTCGATTGGGGTTTGCAAATGAGAGGATGGGAGTGAAGATGGGTGGGCGGAAGGACTTTTGGGGCGCCTCAAAAGTCGTAGCATGGGTGGGTGGGAGTGAGCATGGGTGGGTGGGTGGGAGTGAGCACGAGGTGGCTGAGCCAAGAGAGCTTTGCGGCTCGTCACCTCGTCGGCTTGCCGTCTAAATTGAATCTGACGACGCGGACCACCTCTAACGGTGGTGTGCAGTGCCCTCACGAACCACCGCCATCTCAAACTTCCAACCATCCCAGGGGAGGGGGGAGGTTGGCTTCAGGGAGGTTGGCTTCAGGGAGGTTGGCTTCAGGGTTTGGTTTGGAGTCTGTTGCATATCGCTGGGGCTGGGCTGAGCTATGTAGATGCTCTCGTGACTGCGTCCCAGGCATGTGTGTTATCTCAGAGGTATCGCCACTCTGCAGACAGCACGGATGGGATGCACCGCCATTCATGCAGGCGATCGAGTGCGGGGCGGCCGTGTCTTATTGGTCGAAACGAAACGCTGTGTCTCTCAGAGCTGTGCGTCCCCATATGTGTTTCTCGGCTGTTCTATTTGGCGCCAGTGTGCACGTGTACTAGAGTGCACGCCTCGAACGGAATGTGCGCTCACCATTAGTACGAAGGAGACGGCGAGCATGACCACGTGGCGCTGGCTACTTCCGAGTCGCCTTGATATCATCGACTCGATGTCAGGCCTCTCGGAGAAGTCACTCGCCGCAAGGGCACCTGAACGCTGATTGGTTCGCATTCCGAGTGAGGAGTCCTAAGACTTGCGACGAGACGTCCGCTGTTCCGCCGCGATGCGCGACTATTCGAACGACTTCCCGCATGCCATGCGTCTAATGTGACGACGACTCCCGGAGAGGTATAATTCAGGTGCGCTTCCACTGCCAATTTGCTCCGGATTGAGTGTCAGTCTGAGCATGCCAGCCGGATAACGAGTCCTTCGGACCTCTTGGTACAACTGATATGCGAGGGAGGGATGCTCGAGTGCATGGTCAAATGGCCTGAGAGTGCTGTCAACTGACGAACTCGGAGTAGGACGAACTCGGTGCGTACAGATCCAAGAGGATAGATGTAAGTACGCATAGAGAACACACATCCACGTACGCTCCAGACTCTCAATATCGGAGATATTGTGAGGGTCTCGCGTCAGCTGGATTCGGCCTACAATTTTGTCCCGAACCACTCCCGAGGCCACTGCCCATTCGGTACCTTTCAGAGCCTCGTTTAGCCCGAGGTCCTGCTCTTATCCAATTTTATCCTCGTTTGTAGACTCTGGTCGGACATTAACATATGTAGTCCGACTTGAGTGCATTTCATTATTCATCTAGTTAGTGAAACCCGCTCCAAATAATCCTAGCAACACTAGTACAAACACCCCAGGTTCCAAGGGGGGATAAATTGATTGAGCAGGAGAAACAGTGGTGTGGCTACCAGTCCCCCATGTTGACTGTGAAAAAGCCGGCGAGCAACCGCCCATTTGTGGCGCGCAGTTCGTTTATCAAGCGGCTCCAGTTAGAACCAAGCGCACCCACAAAGTAGTCGCACTGCGACGCAATAATAGCGCTTGCGAAACTCGCTGTGACTGACTGCTTGCCCTCATACTCGCGATTCGACCTGGAATCCTCCGGCTGGCGCAAGTTGGAGGAGAAGAGGAACCTCCAGTCAGTGTACAATGCTGATTCTTTCACCACAGACTGTCAGGGGGGGGGGGGGTGGGAGAGAAGGTGGGGAGGAAGGTACATGGGAGGAAAGGCAGGAAAATGGGTGGATGGCGAGCATGGGAAAGAAAACGAAGCCGCTGCCAAGCGAGAAAGAGGTGGAATGTAGGCAAGCATTCGTTGCCCCGCGTCACGCACCTCCATCTCTGTATTGAGCCACACATATCGCAGGTCCGGCACGAAGCGCCGCAGCCGATGCGCGAAGAACATGTGAGTGGCGAACGACGACAGGCGCATCTCAGTCCCCTTGTCGCTCTGCCGCACGTGCACACTCACGATAGGCCGCATCACAAACGGCTCCACCCCCACCGATGCATAAGTATCCTTTATCGCCTTGGCATCCGCCTCGCTCGTGCACGTCTCATTGCACCCCTCGAAGCCCCGGACAGGCCATATTTGAGTCTCGATGGGCCCCGGAGGGCCAGTGGAGATCCCGACAAGCTTCTTCGATTCGTCTGTCTCGGACGCGTTCCCTGCAACGGCCCGTATGATCTCCGCCTGCGTTTCCAGGTAGCGCGAGAGGTACGACGCGGTGTGGAGCCCATAGGCCATGTGGCGCTCCTTGTTGGTTTCGTGGCACATGTGCGGCGAGGGCCAGCGCATCATGAAGCGCGTCGCCTGCGAGCGCCACCAGTTCACCTGCCCGGTGACCGAGGAATGCAGGTGAGCGGGGGAGGGGTACAGGGAGGGGTAAGGGGAGGGAGAGGGAGGATAGGGAGAGGGAGAGGGGGAGAGGGAGAGGAGGGGAGGGAAGGGGAGAGGGAGGGTGGGGGAAGGGTGGGAGAGGGTGGCCGGAAGAGAGAGGTTACGGGGCAAGGACGTGGTCTGGGTGGGCTTTTACCATGTGGATGATATGATTTGTTAACCCTGCGTACCAGCCAGCTAATTTTGTACGATGCTGATTCATTTGTGCACCCGCACCCACGCGCAAGCGCGCGCACACATACGCACCATGAGGTATATATTGTTAACATATGGCCGCTCCCCCATGTGATCCAGCACATTCGGAGCCCTCAGGTACGCATCGCCCCATAGCCTGGGAAAGTGGGAGGCGGGGGTGGGGCTTTGAGCTTGGGAAGCAAATAGGAGCATGGAGGAGGGGAGGGGAGAGGGGTGCAAGAGTGCGGGAGAGAGGTAGAGGGGGAGAGTGGGAGAGGGGGAGGGAGGGAGGGGGGAGAGTGGGAGAGGGGGAGGGAGGGAGGGGGGAGAGTGGGAGAGGGGGAGGGAGGGAGAGTGGGTGGCAGAGGTAAGGAGCGGGAGAGGGGGAAGAGGGAGAGGGCGGGAGAGGTGCGAGGGAATAGAGGACGCGAATGTATATCCTCCTGGCACTTTGGCCCCGCACACACCTCCTGACCCCCTTCACCTTGCCACAACCCTAAATCATTAGCCTGGGCCTCAGAACCATCTCAATGGCGACATTCAGCCATGCACCCACCCCACATTCCCTGCACCCTTCACACCCCACACCCTTCCCCCCTTCCCCTTCCCCCCTTCCCCTTCGCCCCTTCCCCTTCCCCCCTTCCCCTTCGCCCCTTCCCCTTCCCCCCTTCCCCTTCCCCCTTCCCCTTCCCCCCTTCCCCTTCCCCCCTTCCCCTTCCCCCTTCTGATTCCCCCTTTCCCCTTCCCCCCTCCCCCTTACCCCGTTCCCCTTACCCCCTTCCCCTTCCCCCCTTCCCCTTCCCCTTACCCCATTCCCCTTACTCTATTCCCCTTACCCGAGACTCACTTGGAAGCGCGGGACTCGTAGGTCATCTGCCTGTCGCAGCTGGAGTTAAGGTAAACGACAAGGTCGTCCGAGGCAGAGACACGGTCGTGGCCCTTCTCGTCCGAGGAGAGGGTGGGCATGGTGTTCTTGGCTATCATGTCTGTCACCACGCGCTCACAGTCGGGATTCACTATGGGGAAGAAGTAGCAATTCCACGAGCCGCCTGTCCTGGTGGCTGGGAAAGGAGGGCGGAGGGTGTGGGGGGAACGTGTGGGGGTGGTGCGTGGGGAACGGGGAGTGGGTATGGGAAAACGAAGCGGTTGAGCAGGGCATTGACGTGATAAAGAGACTCGGTGGGGACTAGGCGTCGGGGGAGGAGATGGTTAAGTTAATCACAGTACGGCGTTGGAGGAACGGATCCGCGTACCATACACACAAAAACGCATAGACAGTCACCAGAGACACCCTGACACAGATGGAAACGCAAAAACAAGCAGAGATCCACGAAGACACATGTCATGTCAGTACGCATAGACAGACAACAGACAACAGACAACAGACAGCACAAACACATTGTAACGAAGCTCCACGCATTACACACCCATAGAAACACGCGTCTATCCAACCGGATACACATTCGGTAAAAACGTGCACATATCCACATACACAGAAATGGAGGCTCGTTGGTTGTAGAGTGTAGGTCTGCACGCAGCGCACAAAGACAGGCTGAGCATAAGCTGGGCGGAGAGCTCACAATTGCATATCTCGGAGAGCGCGCGGTCGTAGGAGCCGGGCGTGGGCACGAGTGTGCGGTTGTGGATCAAGGCGAGGCTCAGGAAAGTGCTCATCAGGTGAATCTGATGGTGCCGGTGGGTGCGTGCAAGGAGAGGGGGAAACGCGAGAGAGGGAACGGGAGGGAGGGAGGGAGGGAGGGAGGGAGGGAGGGAGGGAGGGAGGGAGGGAGGGAGGGAGGGAGGGAGGGAGGGAGGGAGGGAGGGAGGGAGTGAGGGAGGGAGGGAGGGAGGGAGGGAGGGAAGGAGAGAGGGAGGGAGAGAGGGAGGGAGAGAGGGAGGGAGGAAGGTGCACCAACTGACCAGGGAGACATTCCCAACTCCTGAGCACCCAGGCTTTCGTTCGTTTGCACTCCCCTCAATATCCACCCACCTAGAAACCAAACTCACTTTCCTTTCCGACTCTCACGGCCCCTTCCATAAGGCACGCCCTCTCCCACCTGCGAGCCCACGCCGTGGGTAGCCGCTGAGGGCCAGGGCACGACGAGCAGGCGCTTGCCGTCGCAGCGGCCGTTGAAGATCTGGTGCTCCCACAGATCGCGCTGCGCCACGCGCGTCAACGGTAGGTTGTCCGCGTCGGATCCGCGCACCTGGGGGTTGGGACAGGTTGGGCAGGGCAGGGGATGGTGATGGGTAGTTGGAGAGAAAATCTCCTATTTGTCTTTCTTACACCCACCTCGCTTGGAGAAGTAATAGGACAGCACGACATGCTCGTTCGTGCCTAGTCCTCACATGACATGCGAGGTAAGGAAGGACGGGAAAAGACGCTTCTTTTAACGAAAAAACAAACAAACAAAAAAAAAACAAAAAAAAAACAAACTGTTACACATTTTAACGTATGCCTTTTCAATTCCAGTGGAAGGACGAATATGGTGGTGCCATAGCAGTCATAGTACCCATGGTGGTTGCGGGTTGCATTCGGGGCAGGTATTAACAGGCCGCGCCCACACACGAGGCTGCCCGTTGCCTTCGCGAGTCTCCGACTCCTTCCTCGCCGCTGTCAGCGCCTCGCAGTCCTCCAGGTGCGGAGCGGGCGGCACGATGGACGGCAAGGTGATTTTTGAGGGCGGCAAGTGGACGTCGTGCTTCAATCCGTAGGCCTCCTCCCATATCTGGCGGATCAAGACAGGGTGGGAAGGGGAAGCGATGAGTTAAGGGGAAGAGCGAGCGAGACACGAGGACGGAGGAGCGAGGAGCGAGAAACGAGGAGGGAGGAGTGAGGAGAGGGGAGCGAGGAGCGAGGAGAGGGGAGCGAGGAGCGAGGAGCGATGAGCGAGGAGCGAGGAGCGAGGAGCGAGGAACGAGGAGCGAGGAGGGAGGAGTGAGGAGAGGGGAGCGAGGAGCGAGGAGAGGGGAACGAGGAGCGAGGAGCGATGAGCGAGGAGCGAGGAGAGAGGAGCGAGGAGCGAGGAGCGAGGAACGAGGAGCGAGGAGCGAGGAGCGAGGAGCGAGGAGCGAGGAGCGAGGAGCGAGGAGAGAGGAGAGAGGAGCGAGGAGAGAGGAAGTCAATTGTGCTTTGCGTATCAGGATTCGCAGACACGGCGCGCAAGCTAAGCTCTGGGATGTATTCCCCCATCAGTAAGCTGTGCTGTGGGGAGCGAGCACCAACTCACTCGGTAAAGAGACATGGCTCGCTCGATACCCGCCTCGCCGCCGATCTGCCCACCTGGCATCTGCGCCGTGACGGACGGCTGCGATGCGCAGAGCAAGAGGAGCGAGACGACGATGACGAGAGACATGGTGGTGTGGTGTCCTCGCAAGAAAAGAACGAGATGCGATGTCTAATGGAAGGGACCAAGAGATATATCGTACCATTGGTGACCATCCCATTGGTGATGGCCCATCACGAGGTGACGCGGAGTTCCTCGGAACCGCACGAGCGAGGACATTCCTTCCTATCCGATGCGGTTGCGCTGCAGTGGCAGTGGCGCGCACTGTGGGTGCAGTGGTGGAGTGCTCATCTGCCGTCCTTGCTCTGCCTCTGGTCCTTGTGGTGTTCAGTGCTCGGGGGGATGTCTCAGGGGGTGTTACATTGCACGCTGGTCCATTTACAGGGAAATGGACCAGCGAATGCTAGGGGGTACCATTTTACAGGGACCACTTCCAAACGTGGTACCCACCAGGTACCCGATGGTACCGGGGACCATTTGCGGCGGACCAGCGCGTACAGTGCATTGCAGCTTCGAAAACGAGCTGTTGACGAAAACATAAGTGTACCTGGTCACGCTTGAACGAGATATCGCAAACAGCAAATATGTTTTGCGAAAAAAGATAAAGTGCAGTTTTCGCATGTGATTCCCATCGCCTTGGGTCGCTCTGGAAATGGTCCTGCGTGTCGAGCGTCGTTTTCGTACGTGCGCCTCGCACTGTAAAAGCTGGTCCGTGGGCAGGTGCAAGTCGGGTCCACACCTGGTCCGTGGCTGGTCCGCAGCTGGGACTGGCCAGGACGCGCGGGGTTGGCCTGGGCCGCTGCGGACCAGCTGCGACCTAGGTTTCTGCGAGCAGGTGGAGGGGTTCTATAAAAGAGTCCGCTGTCTGCTGCCCACTGCCTACCATGAGCAAAGAATTGGGCTGATGGTTCCTGCCCCGCACCAGTGATGCGGAGGTGATTCCACCTCGAGAGGCATTTGTCTGACAAGTAAATAACATGGAACACCCACGCGGTGAAGTTACAGTGTCACAAAAGTGCTGTTCTGCAGGTTTTCGCGGTTGAGTTGACGCGCCCAGCTTCGGGGTTCATCCAACCTGAGCCGAACCATTATAAGCGGACCATTGATGTGGTAAGAAGCTTCCTCGATGGCCGTTTTTGGCCGTGGTAGCCAGAAGAACAGCGCCTTGATCTTTTTAACCCTCGACATCCGCCGGCGGCGTCCGTTTACAAACTGACGGATGTCGTCGGACATCCGTAAAGCGAAAAGAAACGAAGTGTCTGTAACCGAAGTAACTTGTTCTCGAGGGATGTCGTCAACGGATGTCGTCTGCCAGAGCCCTCCCCTCGACATCCGCCGGCCGATCCGGCGGAGAGTGAAGTCAAGCGCTCCGCCAGAAAGCTGAACTGGGTCTAGGAGGGGGGAGCCTCCTTGCCCTTTCGTTTCAGTACAGTATCTCCTCCCCAACCGCCCCGGCAGTGCAGCAAATCTCGATGTCTTTTTGCCCCCCTCCCCCGCAGCAATTTCCCCCATCCCCGAGGGGCGAGGCGAGGTACACCACGGCTGCGCTCCCCCCTTCTCTTCCCTCCCTCCCGCGCCATGCGCTCAGCACTGGCAGAGCAGTCTTGCGCGTTTCAGACAGACAGTTGTGTGTGCATGCAGTACAGCAGACAGAGCGGACCGAACCAACAAGCCACAGGGATGGTCGTGTCTATACAGTCGATGCTCACCTAATTGCGTGGCATTTGACCGTCCCCAATTGTAAACTATCCCTCGTGCATTCAATAACATGAACAACGGCCCCTCCACTACAATAACATATTGTCGAACATGCTGAAAAGTACATCTACAGATGCGCAACCAGACACACCAAGGGATGTCACCCCAAAATTCCTGATATTTCGGAACTGTAACTTCTAGGTTCATTACAGTTCCAACTTTGGCGATGGCGAAATTGACGAGGATCACGAAGTGCCCATTTTAATCGCCTGCCGCCCTAAAATTTGTCGTGAGCCTAATGGGAATGTCTGTACTTATGAGATGTCAAAGTGGGCAGTGTCAACTTGGCCTTATGACACTCGTCAACATTGTTGGTAGAGTAACAAGAAATCGCAAGGTGGCAGCCAATAAACATTGTCGGACACTTTTGAATTTGGCAAAGTGGTGTTCACAGCCTTTGTCCCCCAACAAGGGGCCAACATCTTAGGCGTGTGTTACGAGTCCAGTTGAGTGAGCGAGCGAGGATTGCACTAACGAGGCAAGAATACAAAGAGCGAACAATTGAGCGAAGAATATATAGCGAAGCTACAGTGGTAATGGTAACGTGTGGGAAATGAGGTGCGCGACGGGCCTGGTGCCGAGGTTGGGGGACTGTCGAGGAGGAGGTCCAGAGCGCGGGTTACCAACCGAACCGTGAGGTTGGGTCGCATCGTTAACAGTGGCTGGAATGGGGTCGAGGCGAATGTCGCGAGTGGTAACGGGATATTGTGGGGTGCTGTTGGCGGGAACAGTGGTGTACACGCTGAGCAGGGACGCGAAGTAAGGAAAAAAGTGATTTTCCTTAAACTACCCCCTCCCTTAAGGAGGCCTCTTCTTACGAGAGCGCGTGTATATCCCGGAATTTCCGGCTGCGCAGATACTCGATGAGGACGGGGTGGTTTTCGATTTTGTCCAATGGAACCCAACTGTCCTCGGTGGGCGTGCGATCTCTCCATCGGATTAGAAATTCAACCCTTCGTGCTCCTCGTGGGTCACGAACTCGGTGGCTCAGAATTTTCTCGGGCGTGATGACTGGCTCGGTCGGTGGTCGTGTTATGCTGGCTGGGCGATTTCGGGCCAGTTGGCTGGTGGATGAAATGTAGGGGCGAAGCAGGCTGACGTACCAGTCAGCGTGTAGGAGGAGGTGGGCGGTGACAGGCGTGATCATGTGGCTGATGTGAAATGGCCCGCAATATCGGGGGCGGAGTTTCGTGGTTATGGGCAGGCGGAGGTTTTGAGTGTCGAGTAAAACTAAGTCGTCGGGCTGGTAAGTGACGGGCCTGCGGTGGCGGTCGGCGTTGCGCTTAGCGATGACGTTGGCTTTTTTTATTGCCTCAGCTGCCCTTGTTCGTGCTGCCTGTAATAATTATGCGAACTGTTGCGCACGTGGTACGGGGTTGTCGAGGCTCGGGGTAATGGGTACTGTAGGGTCTTGTCCGTAGTTCAGGTAAAATGACGACTGTTGGGTCGTGGCGGATGGCGAGTTGTTGTACGTGAATTCGATGAGTGGCAGCTGCTGCTCCCAGGTGGTCGGGTCGTCGCACGTGGCTCGGATTAACTGTTCCATGGTTTGATTTGTCCATTCTGTCTGTCCGTCGGTCTCGGGGTGATACGAAGAGCTGAACTGTAGTCTCGTGCCGAACTGCTGCCACATGTTCCGCCAGAAATTGCTGGTAATTTTCGTATCGCGATCGCTGATGATTGCTGATGGTATCCCGTGTAACCGAACGATGGTTGCGATGAAGAGGCGGGCCGTTTCTTCGGCTGTGATTGATTTTTTTTCAGGCTGCGAAATATGCCATTTTCGTCAGCCGATCGACGACGACCAGGATCGCGTCGTTCCCACTTGCTCCCGCCAAAAACCCCGTGACGAAGTCCATCGTCACCTGCTGCCAAGCACGCTCTAGGAGTGGTATCGGCTGCAACTGTCTTGCCGGTCGCTTCCGTGATGATTTCATGATTTGGCAGGTGGGACACGATGCCACGTGTCGCTGCACGTCGGTCAGCATTTCGGGCCAGTAATAATACCGCTGCAGCTCTTGCCGTGTTTTTTCTACTCCGAAATGTCTTGAAGTGACTCCGTCGTGTGCCTCTTGCAACAGTAATTCCCGTAGGAGCGTGTAACCCTGTCAGTAGATCTGCACTGTGGATGCACGATTGATCCTACGGGGGGTTACAGGCATGTTGGCCTGGGGGGTTATGGGCGCACTGACCCGCTACTTAACAAGCCCTTTTATCCCAATGGTCTAGTGGTTGGGATTCTGACATGGTATCAGAGCGGTCTCGGGTTCGAATCTCGGTGTATGCACATATAGGCCGTTGCCGCTGTGCTCAGTCCTGGGCCTCCCAGTGTGGGGGGGTGTAAGTAGATCTACACTGTGGATGCCCGATTGATCCTACGGGGGGTTACTGGCGCTTTCGCCTGGGGAGTTATGGGCGCACAAACCCTCCATACAAATGAGACCTTTATCCCAGTGGTCTAATGACTGGGATTCTGACAAACCCGGTACCCAGATGCGATCCGTGCCCGCTTTTACGTAATAGACTCCTCTTGCTGCTGCAAATTGCTGCGAATTTCCGCCTGTAAAAAATGGGTAAGTCTGGTAACCGTGGGTAAATAGGCCTGTCAGTAGGGGGCTAGCCTGGGCGAGTAGTATGGCATGGAGTTGGGCTGTTGGCCGGGTTAATGCGTCGGCGATGTTCGATGCCCTCTTTTTGTAGGTGACTGTGTAGTGAAAATTCGACTCGAGGTAGTCGAGCCAACGGATTTGTCGTGGGTTGAGGTGGGGTTGTGCGCGGAGGTACTGTAGAGATTTGTGGTCTGTCCGTACTATCACGTCGGCGCCGGTCAAGTAACAGCGCCACACTTTGAATGCATGCACGATCGCAAGCATTTCGCGTTCGTGTATCGGGTAATTCTTCTCGGGCGGATGCAACTTTCGTGATTCGTATACGATAGGCTGTAAGCCGTTGCCGAAATCTTGTAGCAGTACGTCTCCAATGGCGATGTTGCTTGCATCGGTAACCACTTCGAATGGGCGGTGTGGGTCGGCGATGCGCAGTACTAGCGGTGAACAGATAACATTTTTTAGGGTAGAGAAGGCAACATGCTCTTTCTCCCCCCACGCAAAAGCGACCCCCTTCCGCAGTAAGTCTGTCAGCGGGGCAGTTAAGCGTGCCATGTCGTGGACGAACCGACGCACGTAATTTACGAATCCCAAAAAACTCTGCAGCTCCGTGATGTTCGTCGGGGGGTGCCACGCTTTTACCGTGTCCAGTCTCTTCGGGTGGATCTCCACTCCAGCCTCTGAAATAACGTGCCCCAAAAACTC